TAAGGGACTCCTAAGACACTAACAAATCAACCTACAAGGGGACGCCATAAAGAGAGAACAGTGAAAAGGATTACGCAGCTTATATAAAAAATTAACAGTTGAAGGTCAGGACAATTAGAGAAAGAGACATTCAAATACAAGCAGCTCAGTGAATTATAAGTAGAATAGAATATAAACATGAGAACAGGTAAAAAAAAAAAAAACAACAACAAAAAACCAAACATGAAAATATCATGAATCCCAGAATACAATCCTAAGCATATGAAAAAAATAACTTCTCAAAAAATATATTTTTTAAAAGAATAAATAAAAGAAATAAAATCTTAAATCTGTGCTAGAAGACACACAATGTAAAAGATAATGTGATATCAATAACTTCAGTGGGTACAGGGGTAGAGATGGCAAGTAGCACAGTTTTGTATGCAACTGACATACTGAGTTTAAAGTATATTGTTATAGCCTTAAAATATTTTAAGTAACTTCCATGATCACAACAAAAGTAGAAAATAATAAAATGATTTCTGTTAATAGGTGACAGAATTGTGTTGTAAATCACAGACTACATATTTCTAAAAATATATATAAATCCAATGAATTTCTCAAAACATGGTATATAAAGCCAACCCACAAAGTTAGCTGTGTTCTGGTACTGTAACAGAAATTAGTACAAAATAACAAATTAAGTGTGCAATTACATGAATAACAGTATAAAGAGAAATGAAATAATAGTTTACTTTATGTAAAAGGTGCATGATTTGTATGCTGTAAAGTATAAAATACTGCTGGCTGCCATCTTACTTCTAGGTACATATCGAAAAATATTCACAGAGGATCTGCAAGAGACATTTACACATTGTCCATTACAATGCTATTCAGAAAAGCACGCATTAGATGGAAGTAACTCAAATGTCCATGGATAGTTGAATGAATGAGTAAAATTTACCCTATATATATAATGCAATACTATCCTGTCAAAAAATAAAAATAGTTATTATCACCTGATACCACAAAGAGAAACATGGATGACACTTTTTAACTAAAACACACAAGTCACAGAGAGACAGATAGTACAGGATTTCCCTCAGGTGAGTAATCTAATGAATTCTATGTTAAAAAAAAAAAAAAAAGTAGCTACAAGCTAGCCTTCCTTTTAAAGCAAATGAGGAAGTAGTGGTTTAATACATGAGAGATTCTGTAAGATGGAAGTTTTGAGAGATTAGGTACACAACACAGAGAGTAAGAATCTACCCTAGAAAGCAGAAGCCCCCTAAAGATATCCTACATAATAAAAGCCTAATATGCTAATGATATGCTAAGGCACCTCAACTGCTCGCTATGAAGAGCACTGACCACCAGTGGCAGAAAGTCAACCAGTCGCTATGATGTGCACTGACCACCAGGGGGCAGATGCTCCAACTGGTAGGTTACCTTGCTGTTGGGGTTCCACTGATTAGAACTGAGAGAGACAGGCAGACACACCCTGGAGCACTCCCTTGGTCCCTCCCCGGTTGGCCAACGTTTCACGTCTTTCCTCAGCCCAGATCGTGCACTGGTGGGGTCCCTCGGCAGGCCTGTGCCTTCTTGCAATCCAGGAGCCCTTGGGGGATGTCGGTAAGGGACCCCACTGGTGCATGAGTTTGTGCACCGGGCCTCTAGTTAAAATAATAAAAGGAACAAAACCCCTGCATAGGAAATCAGGAAAGAAGTCATCCTCACCCAGGGAGGCCAGGTTGCTGCAGTTCTCCACCATCACATCCAGGTACAATTTCCGCTGAGCTGGGTCCAGGCATTCCCACTCCTCCTGAGAGAAATCTATGGCCACATCCCTGAAGGTCAGCGGTCCCTGAAAGAAAAGACACATTTATATAGAGGTAACCAGAAGAGTACATAATGTCACCAACATGAAAACAGTGTTAGGAGAAGAGGTTTGGACCTAGGAGTGTATCTTGAATCATCCAATAAAATTCTCTGATGTGTTTTCGAACACTGACAAATGAGGATGACACATGTCAACAATCCATGGTATAGATTTCACTTTTCAGGAAGATAAACTTTAAAATGAGAGCGTGGACACAGGAATATGGATTTCTGAGTGCTGTGTTTGCGTCATTAAGGGTCAGTGGTGCATATTTCTCAGCGGAAAATGTCAAGATGAGTCTAAATTTAAGCACTTCTTCAAGTGTAACAAAGAAAAAGACTGCACTTTTCGGAAAATATAAATGCTGATTCATGTTCTGAGATGAGGTCTCTGTTTCCACTTGTGTAATAAGCTCACTTTTTACTTGTGATACCAATGTTACCGGATCACGTACCATATGTCTGAATACACAGAAAATGAAAACACAGGAAAAATTCATATATAACTTTGATCTCAAGGGATTTGTTAATGGAATTTATAGTTCTCATGGAATAGGACACATAGAAGCCACAATCCTATTTGAAAATTTATTACGGGTATTCTTAGAACAATATCATCTGCCTGGTCCAGTGGGTGTGCCTCAGTGGTTGAGCACTGACCCATTAACCAAGAGGTCACTGATCAGGACACATGCCCAGGTTGCCAGACTGATTCCAATGTGGGGCGTGCAGGAAGCAGCCAGTCAATGATTCTCTCATCATTCATGTTTCTCTCTCTCTCTCTCTCTCTCTCTCTCTCTCTCTCTCTCTCTCTCCCCCTTTTTGCATTCAATAAAAATATACTTCAAGAATGAGAGAGGGAAATATAGCAACTGCTGATATTGACTATCCAAAGAAAATAGGAAAGAAATAAGGAAAGGGAAACAACCTAGGAAGGCAAAGCATCAAAAGTAGAGAAATAAATCCAAAGATATTAGTGGAAAAGCAAATATAGCCTCTGATCCAAGACACATCTTTTACCTGAGAAGCAGCCATCTGGTCCTGGCTACTGATCCTGGTCCTCAGATGTTTTCTCAGGTGACAATATGTTGAGGAGTCACAGAATGTGCTTTCAAAGGCGTCTGCACAGCCTGTTCATCAGCTCACCTCACACCCACAGTGAGAAGAACCTGCAAATGAAGGAAAGGCCATCTCATCCTGCATTTGTCACAGGAGACTCAGGAACAATGAGCTCCTATATGTGACATGTTTTATTCTGTCTTCATGTGTCTGTCCTTCCAAAGACTTCCACAAACTCCTACAGCAATGAGAGCATGTGCTGATTTTCTGAAACACCAAAAGCAACATAGCACCCCTTCTTCCCCCCAAAAGAGCCTGCACTGAGGCCCATGCTATGCCATCTTTAACCAATTCACTCCTGAGGCCTCTGAAGCTCCCCCAGAGCTGATTTCAGTAGTGCTGGGTAACACATCAGTCCCAGCACGCCTGAGACCTGTGGGTAGTATAATGGTGTCACAGCACAGCTGCTCTGAGTCCATATATTCTTCAGAATTCTACTTGACTATGCCATGTATCAGAGTAGGACACATGCCCAGGAGTGCTTAGTCCTAAATCCTGCTCATAGTGCTAATTGTGAGAGCAAGTTCCACCTTGAACCCTGCTCACTGCACCAACTGTTGCAAACTTAGTCTAAGTTCCTCCTTTACCTTCAGGTCAACTACCCCAACTGTGGGGTCCTTGTTTCTCTGCCAGGGGCTGGACCTTCTTGAACGTGAAAGAGTAGAAGGAGAAGCCATGAGAAGCTGTGGGTATATAAGAGAGTCTTTACTGTAGAAGCTAGTGGCCCTAAAGCACTGCTAACAATGAGCCATCAGACAAAACAGCTCTTCACAACAGTCCTATACAGGCAGCCGCACACCTGCTGCCAAACAAATACATCTTTCCCACAAAGTAGCAGAAGCCTCTGTACCCACAGCCTGAAGCAGCAGCAGTATCCTCTGTGCCTGCATCTATCATCTGAGCAGCCGCATGCTGCCTCTGAACTCACAGCCTCACATAGTAGCGGCACCTGAGCTCCCTATATCTCCCCAGCCTCTTTAGCATGCTGGGTTCACAAGGTTGCTATATCTGAGCTCTCCACAAGCTCATAGCCTCACATCATAGCAGTACCAGCTCGCAACTTCATCTGAGGTCTCTAACCTTACTAATATACTTTAATACTACTTACACGAAAGAGGCTTCCTGCCAACAGTGACATCAATCCTTTGGGTTATAGAAGGGCAGTGTAGACAGTGTAGATTGCAGTGGCCTTTTATCTGTGTACAGCCCTTGCTCACCCTGATTAAGATTCCAGTGCTCAGAGTGTCCTTAGCTATCTGACATAGTACAGATGAGTCCACCACTCTAACTGCCCTTGACTATATGGCATTACTGGCATGGTTCCCACAGATGATTTGAAGCAAGAAGTTTTACCAGTGCAGGTTTCCCAGGTAGACAGGTAGATTTCCTTCATCTTTTCCCAGGAAATTACAGAGAATGCAGATCTTAACACTAAAGTCTTTGGGAAAGGTTAGATATTCAAATATGCTGATCAAGTGAATTCAACATGGACAGATGGTCTCTGTGGGAATTAAATTTCAGGTCAACCCTAACTGATTTGGCTCAGTGGATAGAGCATCAGCCTGCAGACTGAAGGGTCCCAGGTTTGATTCTGGTCAAGGGCATGTACCTTGGTTGCGGGCACATCCCCAGTAAGGGGTGTGCAGGAGGCAGCTGATCTATGTTTCTCTCACATTGATGTTTCTAACTCTCTATCCCTCTCCCTTCCTCCCTGTAAAAAAATCAATAAAATATATTTTTAAAAAATTTTTTTCAGGTCAATCCAGTCCATCCTTCAACATTTTCTGAGAATGGAAAAGAGAGATTTGAGGAGAGCAGCTCCTTTGTGGCTCAGTCACTAAAACAGCAAATCACATAAAGGGAAGGAAGCAGCTGCTCACAGAACTAGGCTCTGACTGGTAAGATCATGGACATCCTTACCAATGCCCGCTGAGATGGCCTCATATTACTACGTGCCAATGAATGTTTGAGACATGATAATCAGTAGAAACGATACAGGGGTTAGAATGTGAACGACCAACAACATATTTAAAACTAAAAACATCACACGTGTAATATCTGTCCTTATCAATTTAATATGTGATACGTCCTCTATCCAAGGACATTATATTAAATGTATTTTTGGAGCAGGGATATGGAACAGGAGCTTGCTCTGTCCACTCCATGCATCAAGGTGGTGTTGCAGTACCTCTGGAACGGTGCAAGAAGAAAAACAAACAAACAAAACCCACAAAAACAATTAGGGTGGTTATTTGTTAATGTAATGATATCTAGGTTTAAAGATGTACAAAGGTGGAAATTACCTTATACTAAGAAAAGAGTAAGAGATGCTTCTGAGTCCCGGCTGGTTTGGCTCATTGGATAGAGCGTCAGCCTGTGGACTGAAGGGTCCCGAATTCGGTTCAGGTTAAGGACACATGCACAGGTTTCAGGCTGGATCCCCAGTGGAGGGCGTGCAGGAGGCAGCTGATTAGTGGTTCTCTTATATCATAATGTTTCTCTCTCTCACCCCCTCCCTCTCTGAAATAAAAATATATACAAAAACACAAAAAAAGAGCTGCTTCTGAGATGTCACCAATGCTTATTTCAGCAGTTAATGACTATTTACATGAATGAAATGTCAGAGATATGAAATGCAAATCCATTGGGGAGAAAAAAATATTGATGCTTCTAATACTCCTTGATAAAGCATCCTGTGGGGCAGACTCAATCATTTCTGGTCCCAGGTCACCTCCTTCTTGCCATCCCAGCAAATGACAAGGGGCCCATGAGGAACATACCAGTTTCTCCCTCCGTGTGAATAAGGTTTGCAAATGGAAGCAAATAAGTACACATTTGGCAAACCTTGTAAACTGGAGATTTATACGTCTCAGTCAAATCTGTTTAAATAATTCAGTTGTTGAATTAACCATATCAACACACAAGCCAATATATCATAACTTAGTCATCCACATCCCATCAGCTCCTCTCATTCAAATTAGGGTTCCCCTCCTCCCACTACAATGTATATATGTCTATAGTTCCGTTTCTGTCTCCTGCTCCCTTTCCCTCCACTGTGGTCCTTTCCTGTGTCCCCCTCTCCCCTCCTCTCTCTCCCCTTTTCTCTCTGTCTGTCCTACACCTGGACCATGAAACTCCTGAAACCTACTTCCCTTCAGGGGCTCTTTCTCCTGGTCTCTGAGGCTCCATCTCCACACACGTCTGCGTCTTCCCCTCCCCACGCCCGTGGCCCCTCTGCTGCCTGTTCCCCTCTGTCCGCTCCCACAGCTGCTGACTCAGGGCTGCTCCCTCTGCTCCCTCAGCCCTGAGCCCCCCTTTCTGTCCCTGCACTCGCTCCCCAACTCTTATCCTCTGAACCAGTGTCTCTGTCTCAAGTGCCTCCTCCTGTGCGGGCCCCACTTCTGCTCCCCAGGACCCGCTCCCTCTCAGCGCCCCTTCCTCTCTCTGGGCTCCCCCTCCTCCCTGTGTCTCCACTTCCTTCCTCCTCAGGCTCCTTCCCCGAGTGACCCCCTCACTCCTACCGTCGCCGTCCAGTCCCCCCCACACCCCTATGGGCCCCTCTCTGTGGACCCCTCGCTGCCCTTCCTCCCGCCCACGTGTCTGTCTCTCACTCCCTCTCCTGACCCCCCAGCCTGGGTCCCCGCCCCCCGCAGTCACCGCGCCCACAAAGCCCCTCCCTGCGGGCAGGTCACCTCTTCAGGGGACACCGCGTCCTTCTCCCTGAGCCCCCCCATGGACACTGTGCTCCCCGGGCCGGCAGACCCCTTATTAAATGGGGGTGGGCCTAGAAGGGGTTGCGGACCCCCAGGCCGGGAGCCATCCGGGCTCTTTGGGCGGAAGCCGCCGGGCAGGGGGAGGGCCGCAAAGGGCGGGAACCCCCTGACCCAGACTCTCAGCCCCGCGGGGAGCACCGGCGGCCCCGGGAACGGTTTTCAGCGGGAAAACCGCGCGGCAGGCGGTGGCCACAGCCACAGGCGGAGAGACCCCGGGCCGGGCCTCCGTTTCCTCCCAAAGGCACGTGGCGCCCGCACCGCGCAGCCTCCCGGGACCGGACTCACCGCTGAGAGAGGCTCCGGGGCGGGGACCCCAACAAGGACTTCAGCGCCGGCAGCGCCCTCAGCCTTCCCTGCGGGGAGGGGGACGGGAGCGTCAGCTTTAAAGACAAACACCCTCCTCAGGGGGAACCGCCACCTCCCCCTCCACAGCCGCTTCCGCGTCTGCAAGGAACTGCGCATGCGCCTCCCTGCGGGGTGGGCGGGGCCAGAGGCTGAGCTGAGCGGCTCCGCGATGGGGGCGGGGCCGAGCCCGGAGGCCGGGCCTGTGCAGGGACAGAGGGAGGGAGGGCGGAGCAGGAGCGAGTGGGTAGCCTAGACTTTCTTTTGTTTGCACAGTTCATGAAAAGCTCAGGGCTAAGGGCTGACGCCCCCAGAGGCAACATAAGAGCTGCCCTCCCCCTTACTGACAATGGTTGTAAACCTGTGGGTCGCGACCCCATTGGCGGTCGAACAACTCTTTCACAAGGGGTCGCCTAAGACTATCCTGCATATCAGATATTTATATTATGATTCATTACTGTAGCAACATTGCAGTTATGAAGTAGCAACGAAAATAATGTTATGGTTGGGTCACAACATGAGGAAATGTGTTTAAAGGGCCAGAAGGTTGAGAACCACTAACCCACTTGTTGAAATCTCCTCCCTGGACTCCCTTAACCAAATCCTGCCTTCCCTCCTCTTCACCAACAAATGCACCCACATCCTGACCCTATAGTGCATATTTCTACCCTAAAGAAAATCTAGTCACCCCCTCAGGGCTGACACCAACACACTGGCCAGGGGTGAGACAGTGCAATGCAATTTCCTAAAGTCTCACCATAGCTCTGGGCCTGGCTCCTGTAGGTGACACCAAACAGGAGGGAATCAGGGGAATTAACACAGAAGTTTAACAGATCCCAGAGGCTGTGCCTAGAGCAACTGGCTGGTCTGCCCTTCAGCTGCAGGTGTCCCAGGGAGGTGTCTTTCCCAGGATCTTCACAAGCCAATAATATTCTTACAGTGAAGTTACAGAGAAATTGGGTTTGAAAACCTCAGTGAGGAGGGGGGAGGGGGAAGGGCAACCTGTTCTCCCAGCCCCTCTGTCTCACCATTGAAGGAGAGGCAGCTGGAATTAAGTAAATTAGCCATCTTTTTAGGTAATTATCAGGTGCTTTTCACAGCGAATGGAAGGTTACAGCAAAGAAAAAGGAAGTCCTTCCGTATCATCACTCTTGTCATTTGTAACATTGCTTTCCAAAATCAAATTATGGGGACCCTTCAAGGATGCAATTTTGGATAAGATCTTTCTCACATACATTATACCTTGAAGATTTCTCTTAGATGTATATTGACTGATGTTTAGTGATGTTTAACTCTCAGTTAAATATATTGCCCAATTCCTTATATATTAACATCTTCTTGTCAACATAAGAAAAATTAAAAACTATAATGAATGTTTGGCAGTTCATTTGAGCCAACCTGTATACAAGTGCCAGGAAGCAAAATTTCAACACATTGAGAGAATGTTCCAGAGAACAGAAGTTGTGCATTTTATTTTATACAGTACTAGAGGCCTAGTGCATGAAATTTGTGCACTTGGGGGTGGAGTCCCTCAGCTTGGCCTGTGGTCTATCACAGTCCGGGAGGCCCGCGAGCCATCCTGCAAATAAGTAGGCCCTGCTCACCCAGCCGGATTCTGTGATGGATTGTTGTCCCCCCTTCAGTGGCCTGGGCCTCCCTCTTTGGGGCAATCGTGGAGCTCCCTGATTGATTGATCTCCTCACCAGCTGGTGGCCTGGGCCTCCTTCCACAGGGCAATCATGGAGCTATAGCCAGGCCCCCGATGAATCTCATCTCATCGTCTTGGATGCCCTGGCACCAGTTGGTGACATAGTGTGGTCATCCAGAAGGATGTCCAGGCGGTCATTCTGCTGTTTGGTACTTCAGTTTACTTGCATATTATGCTTTCATTATTATAGACGAGAGGCCCAGTGCGCGAAATTCGTGCACTCCAGTTGGGGGGTGTTCCCCTCAGCCTGACCTGCGTCCTCTTGCAGTCCAGGAGCCCTCGGGGGATGTCTGACTGATGGCTTAGGCCCGCTCACCCCAGGGAACTGGCCTAAGCCAGCAGTCAGACACCCTTAGTGCTGTTGTGGAGGCGGGAGAGGCTCCCACCATCACCACTGTGCTCACCAGCCGTGAACCCACCTTCTGGCTAAGCGGTGCTCTCCCTGTGGGAGTGCACTGACCATCAGGAGGCAGTTCCTGCATTGAGTGTCTGCCCCTGGTGGTCAGTGCATGTCATAGCAACTGATCATTCTGAAGTTCAGTCAATTTGCATGTTAACCTTTTATTATATAGGATAATTAAAAGAGAAGATGCAAGTGGATTATATGAAATCTATTGGTGATAGATACTTGTCTTTCATATAAGTGTACAAACCTTAACAGTGAACAATTAACATAATAACAATGAGAGGGTTTACAGTTTCCCCCTGGTGCACTTGTTGTGTCCTGAGGGCTCTGGAAAAAGGGGAGTTACCCTGATATTCCAAAGGAATGTTATCCTGGTGGCAAAAGACAATAGACAGGCTTAGGTAAGGATTCCCTCTTGTTAGGGAAGATTCTTGTCTAGGACCTGACTACCTGCTATAAACTGCTTTTAGTTAAAAAGATTTTCATTTCTGACCATCCTTTCTGGTTACTTTAGGTCTCTGACTTTGAAAGGCTGACATGCAGGCCTTCAATGAGCTTGTGAAGTTAGCATGTGTCCCCTTTTCATGTATATATTCCGATTGGGACATAAATCAATCCAAAGGAAGTATTAAGGAGCCAACTTTTTGTAGGATAATGAGGTGCCCTGGTACTGGGAAGGCTGTCTTAGTGTTTTTCTTCATAAATAATGGACCATTGGGGTTGGAGAAAAACTGTAACTAACCTTGGATGGCAATCAAGGCCAGTTTTTTTTCTAAGGTGAAAAGTGCAGTCAAGTCTTTTGGGCCTTTATTAAGTATAACAAGCAATTTTTAAAAAAAATAGATTTTTATTCATCTTAGAGAGGAAAGGAGAGGGAGACCAACATGAATGATGACCGAGAATCCTGGGTCAGCTGTCTCCTGCATGCCCCTCCCTGGGGATGGAGCCCACAAGCCTGGCATGTGCACCAACATGGAATG